CTGGTTTTGCGTAAAAATTCCAGTTTTTCTGTCATTTTTTTTTTGTTTTTCTCGATTTTTTTGAAAACTGTTGGAAAATGTTTATTTTTGACCTGTATAATGCACCAAGGATATTCACTTTTACATTGGAAACCACCCCCAAAGTTTGAAATTGAAGCATCATTTCGACTAGTTATGCTGTACACAGACACGCACACACAAAAAAACACACATCATTGTAAAATCAATACGTTCATCACTTCGTTCAGAATCTAAAATTATGACAATGAATTTATTTTGTTTTTCAACTCCAAATTAGGAGCCTTGTATTAAATTTTCAAGCTTTTCTACCCAACTACAAATTTAAAAAAAACTAATAATGATCGAAAATTGCATATGCCTATAAATAGTTCAACTTAGTCAAACATTTTTGAAAATTGTATGGTGGATAGAATATACTTATATTTACATTTGGTGAAAATCGTGTATCTATGGTCATTTGTTTTAAAGCTACATCAAAAACCRAAATCGATTTTGTCGAAAACTGATTGTGCGTAAAATTTCCTGTTTTTCCTTTAATTTTTAATTTGTTTATTCCGATTATTTAGAAAAACTTTCTGATCGAACGAGGTACTGAAGTCGAAAATCGAAGCACTTTTACTGCCCTAAAACGTGATGACAGACACAAAAAAAATTTTTTTTTAAACACACATTATGGTAAAATCAATACATTCCTCGCTCCGCTCAGAATCTAAAATTTAACAGAGAAATCCTTATTTTATTAATAGATTCCAATTTTTTGCTGTCCATGAATAAACTATCAATTTCGTATACGTACTCTGTTTTAAAATTCATAACAATTCGAAATATTTTATAATACCACCTGCAAGACGTTATGAATTTCTATTTAATTGTGTCCGAAGAAACTTACAATGCACAATATTATATTATATGTTTTACATCGCCGATGGATCAAATGCTTCTTTATTGGTACTAATGTGCTATCATTCCTTTTTTTTTTTGTATTTGTTCATTGAAACGACCTCTAGGTCTTCGTCAATGCTTATCACAAGTGGGTATAGTAGGGATATCATGTGATCTATTTATCTATGTATATATCACTATATACATGATACTACCCCCCTTCTCCAAGAGCAGACATGTGCGGTCTTCACTCCCAGTGGAGTGGGACCTAGTTGGGAACCGGATGACGCAATCGGACGACAGCGTGGGGATTTAGTGATCACGTAGAACCATACAAATTTTTTTTGCACTTTGCTATGAATCGAACCGATGATTGTGTGAGTCGTAGTCAAATGCGTGACCACTGCGCCACTCCGGCCCCTAATCATTCATAATATTCGAAATTCTTCTGGTTACACCCTGCTTGGGTATGTGATGTCAGATGCAAATGATTTCCTATGCGTTTGAATCGGTTGGATGATACAAATCACGTTGCGATCATAATCCTCCACTCGGTAAGTAGACTTCTAAGCTACATAGAATACATGACCATATAATGATGTATCCGTATTTTATCTCCAAAAATATAGTACACTAGAAAGTGTTATTTTTTAAAAAGGTGAACAAATTTAAGATATTTACTAATATATTGTAACTAATAATACTCAATAATCTATATGGGTTTTCAGTCGATTCTTCCATTTCAAATTGGAAACAGCAATACTATGCAATATAATAGTTATTTAATCGATACTGAAAAAATATTTTAAAATAATAACACAACGACTTAAGACAAAACATTTATTTTTTTAATAATATTACAATCATAGATTTTAAGACGGTGAAAAACTTGAATACCAACGGGTTCTTTTTTGAATGAAATTATACCTATGTGTAATGTTTAAATTCACAAAAATCCTATCTCGTATTATTGTGAAATGTGTTATTGATATATGATAAATTGCACAGGATCTTCATAAAATCTTAAATAAATATTATAGACTATTAAATTGTATAAATAGCATGTACAATTAAATTTAATTAGGTAAGATATATTATGCTACGGTGTATATTACATTAATTAATTAACTACTTTTAATTTATTGTTAATTGTAACTAACAAAAAATAAAAGCAGGTACATGGATTAAATATCATACACCAGAGTAGATACTTTACCTAATTAAATTTGAATTGTACATGTATAAATAGCATACTTATGCCTCTTAATAGTCTATAATATTTATTTAAAATCATCTTCATCTTCAAAAAAATGATTTAATATTAAGATGGTGATTTCTTGTTTTGCTGCCTTTTTAGATGAATCTACAAAATTAAGATTAAAGGCAATATTAACTGATTATTGTTGAAAAATTTTAAATATCAATTCTATAATTCATCCAACCGATGTTTTTTGTACACATACGTGTACAAAGATAAAAAATCTTTACTAGATTTTTTATTTTTTATTTATAAATTAAGATAACTTTTATATTAAGGTTTTGACAGAAAATCGTATATATTATTATATTGTACATATTAAAGTGACCATATAAGAAATCATACATCATATATTTAAGTAAAACATAAGTTTGATAAAATATTAAAATTAATTTATAATTTCAAATAGGTATTAAAAATGTTAAGATCTACCTGATATAATGTTACAATACAAAAATATTACCGAATACAAAAAAAATCTTTGCATCTATCATACATTCCACTAAGATCACTGGTGAAGGATTTTTGACAACGGTGGTTATACATTTTAGACAGTTAAATATCTCATTTAAAAGAACCAAGGGTTGATTCTTCTTTTTATCGGCAAAGTTTTTCACCATCTAAAATAAAAAAGCATATGTTATAATATTTACTATAATATTTTATTCCTAACAACAAACAGACTACACGCATGCACAAGATATTATGAACTTAACACTCGTATTCTTAATATTATATAAAGTCTATTCTTATTTACCTCCAATCACAACATTTTTGTTTTTTTGCTGAATAAAACGGATTCTATATCGTCTTGAATGACCTAAAACAAATTACATACCATTTAATATAGATATAAATATTATAAATTTGATCATTTACACAAGTTTTTTTTTTAAATTCTACCTCTTATATGTTTCAAACTGTGTGTTAAATTCGTTTCATGTTATTTTGCTAGCAGTATACTTATACATTTAGATAGATGACGGTTAAAATATACTAAGTAAAAATCATACATACAACGATATTCAATTTAGTTAAACATTAAGTAATTTAATTCGTTTTATTGAGAACAGACTAAGAATAATTAAAATATTCGATTGAATGATATCTATAGGTCTATCGCTATTCACTATTTAATTCAATCTATCTCTGACCATAGTTTTAATATATATCTCTATCTCTGTACCAAATTTCATCGCTATCAGTTCAGCCGTTTAGAAATGCATATAGGACAAACAGACAGAAATTCATTTTATAAATATATATAGGTATATAAATATAACTTTAGAAGTCATCGTCCACGGATGGCGAGCCGGACAGTGAACGAAACAGTCCTATATGTTTACATGAGTAATTTCACGGGATAAACAAAACATTATACGTACGTATCGTATTTATTACACATTAAAAATTATTATGTTTATATAATATTAATTATTTAATTCGTCTAAAACGTTATACACAGAAATAAGCAAACATTTTTATAAAAATAATATACTACTGTTATATTATAAATCATTGTTTTTCTACCAGCACAGCTGTTTAGAAATTACCATGTATCTAYATTAAATTAATTAATTGAAAATAAAAATAATACAATGACCAACATTAAATCATGTAAGGGCCGGCTATTAAGATATTCAAGAATTTTAATGTTTAGATACTATTCAAAAAGTACTATAAAGTGTAAACTTTCTAATATAACCTAAAATCAATTGTTACCGTGAATGTTGGAGGTGGACGCTGTAGTATCTCTTTTCCTACGGACGCTTCTATTAGCAATCACATTACCAACCTGGTTGGTTTGGTCGGTTGGTGTATTTGCATGCACGTGTTTGGTAAATGTTCGTCATATGGAATATTAAGTTTATTCTCCGATCTGCTTCATAAACGAACGTTATGATAAAAATATTGTTAATTACTAATGTAAGTAGGTCGATATAATATGTATTATAATATTACTTTTTATGGATGCTACATCATCATTCTTGGGTAACTTTTTATCTAATATGAAAATATTTTTGGTTAAAATATAATTAATACTCAATATATTATGTTACCTATGTATATGAAAAACTAACTTTCTACTAATTCCAATTTTTGAACTTTAATGGTATTGTTTGAATCTTTTTCCACCATCGTCCTATTACTCCTATTAATAGAAAAGATACTATCAATATTTAGTTCTACAAAATAAGTAATCTCATATACCTACTGCATTAAACATTATAGTTTTTACCTATAATCTAGTCAACCAAACCCTCTTATGTGCCCATTTATACAGACTGTACAAATTAAAATAAGTATGACACAAATAAATAAATATTTTTATTACCTGTACAATTTGCACGTGATTATCATTTAACAATTGCTTCCGTTTGCTAATGTAATGATATAATATGCCAATAGCACCTATAGCGGCAAACGTAAGGCCTGCAAAAAAAACCTTTTCGACATTTTTAGAACGCTTTTATTGACAGCCAATGGATATGTTCAAATGAACAATATTTCAGAATCCTATTGAAAGAAACAATAGTCTATTCGTAGTTATTTATTTATTATAATAATAATCATGTGTTGCCCGGACAAAAATTTGTTTTTGTTTATATGCAGAAACATTGATTATAAATACTATACAGTATATTTTATAATCAACGGTATAAGTATACAATAACATTATTATTATTATTATTATTTTATTAATCCTAAGTCAGAGAACTATAACAATTTGTTTCTGCAATTAGTGAATAATATACAACGATTTATCTTTCTCTTATTACTATTATATTACGATAATTTGTAAGCTGTAACCAAAAGCAACTATTTTTTTAATCTTAAATCTCAAAAAAACAAATAATGTTCACAAAACAAAACAAAAAACAAACGGGAAAGTGGATATCGGATATCGTCTTGTAAAAATATGTTAGAAGCCTTGTAACTTTCAAATCTTAGATTTAAAAAGAAAATTTTTTATGAACTTCTATCTAAGATAATTTGAACTTTGCCTTAATTTTTACGTATTTAGTCAACATTTGAACTTTACATGCTTATATAAAAAAAAAAAATAATATTTTTCAACAGCTATTGAAATAATATTTTGAAAGTCTTATATTAAATTTAGAAGTTTTTTGACCCAACCAATAAAATTGTATTGACATTAATAGAAAAAAAAAACTAAACAATTTGAAAAATTAAAATGTCAGTAAACAGCTCAAAACTAATCAAAACAATTTTAAAATCGTATCAAATATATAAAATGCCATTATAAACATTCAGTGAAAATTTCAAGTATCTGCGGTCATTTTTTTTAGAGTTATACCAAAATAAGAAAATTGCTAAATGAGAAATCTAGTGAAAATCCAATGTTGTAAAAATTTAAACTTCTAACACTCATAAAAACTTAATTTGACTTTCTGGTGGATATTATTTTTATGATAAACGTTGACAAACYTTGCATCAAATTTCCAAATCTTAGATTTAAAAATAAATTTTTTTATGAGTTTCTACCTACCTTAAAATAATTTGTGAATTTTCATGATTTTTATGTATTTTGTCAAAATTCAAACTTTGAATGCTTGTAAAAAAAAAAATGGTGACTATGTATTTCTTTTATTTTTCAACTGCTATTGTAACAATATGTTAAGAGCCTTGTATTAATTTTTCAAACTTTTCTATACCCAACAAATAAATTTTTATCGATATTAATTTAAAAAAAACTAATAATGATCGAAAATTGCATATGCCTATAAATACTTCAATTTAAATCGAAATTTTTTGAAAATTGCATGGTAGATAGAATATGCTTATATTAAGATTCGGGAGTCTAAAATTAACACTAAAATAAAGATAATATACGATTTTCAGTTTTGCACCACTACAGCCTAGAGCTAGGTAAACGCAGTGCTTATAATTTCCACCATTGTAGGTAGTCAAAATAGTCTTTGCAGTTATATTTGCACCGAAATGAGTATCTACTACCAATATTCGATTACTTTGTCTGTACTTGATATGAAATATTTTATGTAACTCTTTAGTTATTAGTTTATTACTATTAGCTTCTCATATATCAATATGACAATATCTTATACTCCACTATCAAAACGTTACCTAAGTACCTACAATCGAAATAATAATTGATTTGAATTTTGGTGCAATTACTACAACCCCATATTTTTTACTACCTACTTGAGATAGTGCTAAGTTGAAGAAAGCCATAAACACACGTATACGTATAAATTACCACGATACAATAGTTACAATAATATTGACACTTATTTATATTAATCACCACAAATTAAAAATGAAATAAATTGGTAGTTAAACACTCGTACATATAACCTGACTTAGTATGTATATATATATTATATACACCTAAGTATATACAACTGCAATTATGCACGCGTGTAACCAAAAGATCTGAAAAATTTATATTATAACATTTTAAGCCATAACTGTCGCATATATTGACTTGATAATTAATTATAAAGCGATAACATATATATAGGTACCGAAAAACGATGTAAATAGTTTCATGATTTGAATTGTTCAAGATTAGTCATAATGGCCTCAAAATATACTTTATAAACGTAATAGCAAAATGTCTCAAGTCCCCACGGTTAATATTTTTTTAATTACGATATAAATATCCAATTTCATCAAAAATTTATATGAAACACACACTTGATATACTATTTCAAAGGACACAGATACAGCTTCACATTTGTTCAAAAACGTTTTTATGGTTTCTACTCTGATGGGTATATTGGTATTATTTTCAACGTTACATCACGATTCCCCCTCTTTGGAACGTATATTATAAATTACGATGTTATGTATGAAATTATGTAGTAAAATGTCTTCATTTCACTTTAGTTTTTATATAGATTTGAAGCTGATAAGATGTTTACTCATTCAAGGATTAAAATTGCTATTATTGGAGCCGGACCAGTAAATAATGTTTATTAAAATTAAGTTATAATAAAGTTAAAAATTTCATGTCTTTTTATTTAGGTTGGGTCATTGTGTGCATGCTTTATGGCAGAAAATGGATATGACGTTACCGTCTACGAAAGTCGAACAGGTAAACTATATGTTTAAGTAGGTACCTATTATAATATACCTATTATTGTAAAATATGTTAATTTTTTTATGAAAATTATACAATGTTTATTTAACAAAATTAAATATTGTTGATGTATAAACACTATCACTGTAACAATGTAGTTTTAAATAAAGACCGCAATATCTATGGTAAACAAGTTTATTAATTAGTTTAGTAATTACAAAAAAATATGTTATTGCCTATTGGTACAATACCGTTTTTTTACAAATACTTACCTAAAAAGTAAAACTAGATAATTTAATTTATCTAGTATCAGCAGCACCAAATGAAAGACTATGACCTATCTAAATTTAGGTACTTGTTACATGTTTAACTGAATTCGTGTTAGTATAAAATCCTTCTTATAAAACATATACCTATACTAACTGTCTGATAAGTTCTACAATAACATAACTTAATATAATATTTTATTATGAGACACCACTTTTTTAATGTCCGTAAATTTTATTAGTAAAACAAATTATAAACACTAATAATTTTACAATACCAAATGACATTAGCTTTTGTGAATCACTTTMTCAAATTTAGTTTTCATCATATAAACTTGTAAATATTTTAGAACTTTAACATTATTAAAATGAGAACTGGTTATGAAGTTTAAATATAATAATTTCTATGGACGATAATTTCTTTTATATCTAGTATACCTACCAAGTACCAATACTAATCAAAGATAAATAAATTTAGAAGTTTTCAGAATTATTATACGTAAGTATAGTTGACGGGAGTCTGTAAATTGCACTAAAATAAAGGAATGTAACTTGCACTACCGTATGTATCAGAAAATAGTGTAAGTAATTCGTTAATTGCGTCAAAATAAATATTTAATTATGTATTCGATTATTTTTTCGGTACCTATATTACCTAACCTTGTTGATCGGGATCACGATGAACGAAATTTAATTACTCAAATAACAACAATACCTTTTTTTTTAAATAAAATTAACCACTATGATATTAATAGTTATAAGTAATATGTTTGTACGTATATTTTTATACTCATACCGACGTCGCCATTAATTGTCCATTAAGTTAATATTTTTGTTGTCTTCATATAGGTAAGTTGGGAACTTCTCATCATTGCCCGCTAATAGAGTAAACATCAAATTGTAGTAACATAAAATTAGTTTAATTCGTGAATATTAATCTGTGGTAATACCTACTGATATCTCATACTATCTAAAGTAGAGTCTCTACTATGGAAATGTGTATGTAGTAAATAATCTGGTTGAATTGAATTCTGATGCAAATTACAAAAAATGTTAATGCATAATGATAATACTATAAATCTTGTTTATATTTTGGACTTTGGGTTAGTTTTATTTACTACAACCTATCCTACATTTAGAATCGTCATCAAGAAAAACCCACTTCTCTTTGATTTAAAATGGTAATAAAATAAACACACTAAATTAAATAAAACATTTTACAGTGATACGACGAAATATTTTTCAACAATAAAAATTGAAATAATTATAGTAGCAAAAAAAAATAAAAGTTTACTCAATAGTTTAAATAATAACTTTCTACAATCATTTAAGTTCGAACTAAATGTGAAACCAAAAATTATAGTTTTTTATTAAGTATGAATGAATACCTACGTTCTATATATTAATTATATTATAGAAAATCATATTATAATACAGATATTAGACTTGATAAATCAACATCAGGACGTTCTATAAACTTGGCTTTGTCAGAAAGAGGCATTAACGCTCTCCGATTTATTGGACTCGATAATATTGTTATTGAAGAACTCACAGAACCTATGTACGGCCGAATGATCCATTCAACTGATGGCAATAAATATAGCATTATGTATGATATTAACAAATCCAAGGTACCATTATGTCTATATTTATGTAGTAACTATATTATAGTCTCGTTATTCATAATTTGTATCACTAATAAAAAAATGACAACCTATTTTAGTTATTTAGATTATTTTATTTTATTTATAGCCGATATAAAATAAATTAAAAAAAGTAAGTCACCATTTTTTGAATAATCAAATCAAACTATAACTTTTCTGAACATAACTCTGTTGTAAATTTAATCGAATAATGAGAAAAAAATTGTAGGTACTATTATTCAAAATACTCATAGAAGCACCAAAATTCTCTAGTTTTATCAAAATTTAATCTTATTTTTATATAAGTATAATTAATAATTTGTGAGACAGCTACCATCAAGTTCATCACAGAGGCAGAACTAAAAAATAAAATATGAACACTTTAAAATAATATAGTTTTTAATGTAAATACAACCCAATGTAACTTAAATGTTGTTACTTGTTACCCATGGCCTATGTCACCGAAGGTATACTTCGTGTTAGTAAAAAAAAAAAAAAATTGTAAGGGTTTCTATTTCTAATACAATTTTTATACTAAAAATATGATAAATAGAAAGATCATACCATTCGGAACTCTAAAAAAAATCATTTTAAACATACCAAAATAATAATAAAACTTTAATTGCAACATTTGATTAAAAATCACATCATACTATATACTGCATTTGTTCAGAATCCAAACTACTTAGAATAATAGTATTATAAAATAGCTCCCTTACATATCATTTATTTAAAAAATTAAAATTTAGTATAATAATTTGTTCTATCATTTTAAACAATACATTTTATATTTTGTACTAGCACTAAGTATAGTTTATTAAGTCAAGATGATTTAATGCCTTGATGATAAGTAATTTATAAAAAAAAACAAGTAATTATAATTGAGTTAATGTTTTTCAGTGTTTGTTCTCTATTAGCAGAAAGGAACTCAATGAATTTTTATTAACAAGTAACTATCTGTTTAATATTTTGGTTATTATTAATAGCCCAATAATATGACTATACATTTTTTGTAGAATTAGAAAAATATCCAAATGTGAAGTTAAACTTTTCACATAAACTCGTCGACGTTGATTTTAATGCTAATCTACTAACGTTTCAAAAGTATGTTTATTATGATTCTATTTAATATCGTAAAATAATATTTTTATAATTAATTCCATATTTCTTTTAGATTATTAGAAAACCAACAAGAAACTGTTAAACCGGATATAATTATTGGATGCGATGGAGCTCATTCCATTGTTCGCAAACATATGATTCGTCTACCAATGTTTAATTATTCACAGACATATATAGATCATGGTTACTTTGAAATAAGCTTACCATCAACTGAAACAAAAGTACGGAAATAAATCAAAATAATATTTTACAATATAGGAAATAACACTGAAAACTTTTAGAATACTTTAACTCCGGGTCATCTTCATATTTGGCCGAGAAGTACATTTATGTTGATAGCATTACCAAATAAAGATAAATCTTGGACTTGCACTTTATTTATGCCAATGGATAAATTTCCATCGATATTAGAATCTGAAAGGGAAGAGATTTTACGTTTTTTTAACGAGTACTTTAAAGATTTTATGGATTTGATTCACCCAGAACATTTATTAAAACAAGTGAAAAATGGAAAAGCGCGAACTCTCATTTCTATTAAAGTAAGTAGGAGCTTTAAAAACTTTTTATTTAAATATGTTTGTTGACCTAAAAATGTACAATAGTTATTTATCATAACATATTGTTATTACAGTGTAATCCATATCACGTTAATGATAATTTTCTATTGTTGGGAGACGCTGCTCACGCAATTGTACCTTTTTATGGTCAAGGAATGAATGCTGTAAGAATAGAATAAAATCCAAAAGAAAATAAATTTTAATTAAATACTTACGTTATGCATTTAAAATAATTAATGTATTAATTATAAAGTATATTTTTTTAAATGTTAAGGGCTTCGAAGATTGTACAATTTTGAACCAACTACTCGAAGAGTACGACCACGATTTCAAAACTGTAATTAAAAATTTCTCATCGAGAAGAATTGAAGATGCAGAAGCTATCAGTGATTTAGCTTTTTACAACTATATAGAAGTAATTTTATTTTTTTGTAATGCACTAATATACGTACGTTTTAGAGACATTGAGGATTTTGATTTAAGTCAAATTACAAATTTAAATATTGTTATATTTACAATTTATTAATTATTATATAATTATACAACTTCAGAGGTAGGTATCTAAAAACTTAATACCACCGAAGGCTTAATAATTAGCTGTGTATTTAAAACTTAATAAAAAGGTGGAGATGTGGGATACCGCTCTGCTGTACAGTAATTTATGAGCATGTAATTGTAATGGATATTATGTTATATTTGATTACAATTATGATAAATCATTGCATACGTAAAATGATTCTGAGCAAAGACGTTGTGTCTACCTTGCTAAATAATTTGAATGTTGTATGCATGCTTGTATAAATAATTAAATAATAAAAACCATCTAATAGTAATATTTGGTGAAAATATCAATAGTCAACAATTATTTGATTTGAATCACAAAAAAATATCAAAAATTCGTTAATTTAACTCCGAATATCAAATATCATAAGAAATATAAATTTGAACGCCTATACAAAATTAACGTTAGATTTCGGTAATATTTTTTTTTAATTGTTAATGCTTGAAAACATATTGTGGAGTCTTCTATTAAAATGTTTAATTAAGCTATGAAAAAATATTTTTATGAAGTTTTTCCCGTTGTTTTCGAAAACTGCTGAAAATTATCAATTTTTACCTTCAAAATGAATCAAATAAATTCACTTTTCTATCAGAAAAGGTTTATGTTGAAAATCGTGACACGTTTACTTAAAGTTAAAGTTCAAATTTCGAAAAAATCGTGAAGGATATGTAAATTAGTTTGTAGTTGAAAATTCATAATATGGTTAATTTATATATCTATGGCTTGAAAATATAGCACATGTTCTTCATATTATGCAGTTCTTAYAGAAAATTGAAAATCTAAAAAACATGTAAGTAAAATTTTGTTTTGTAGACAAGTTAAAATTTTGAAGAAATTGGATATTTAAACTATAAAAATAAAAATTTTAGCTATATTTTTGTAATTCAAAAATATGCTTATGAACTTCATGAAAATTTTTACGTATATTATTAATTATTATATACTGCTATACACAACGACGATTAAAAATATTTATATCAATACATTTTAAGTTATAATTATCTATTTATAGTTTAAACTTTAAATATAATTTTACTTATATAGTAAAATAATAAATTATTATAAATAAATAAACTTATTAATATAAAATGAAAGACCATCTTCACTCGTTTTTCGTACCTATGAAAAGATATTATTATTTTATTAAAACAAAATGTATACAATGTGACATACTCAAATAAGACTAATAAGAGGTGCACGCAAATATTACTCTACAACAGAGTAATTATCTTAGTTTCATTTTTTTTTTTTAACTTAATTTCCACATTATTAAATTTTTCGTGATTTTTCTAGTAATTGCAATAAACTAAAAAACATATTTTATTATCTGATATCACCAAAATTTATAGTCGATTTTAAACTAAACAAATCTGAAGACAAAAACGTATGAGGCTAATGGACGTAAGACCAAATTCAATCAATTTATGATTTTATACACATTTTTTTATTTTATTAATAAATTATTATGACATAATATTACAACACTACTACTTAATTATATTGAATATACTAATTTTAAGATAATTAAATTCCTATTTATAGATGCGTGATTTAGTTGCTCGTAAAAGCTTTTTGTGGCGGAAAAAAATAGATAACATACTAAATAAATGGTTTCCTCGGACATGGATACCGCTTCATAGTTCGGTTTCTTTTACAACGATTGGCTATAAACAATGCAAGCTCGACAATCGGTGGCAAGACCAAGTAAGTGCATTATAACTAAATAGGTAATCATTCTAATTAATAAATATGATGAATAAACAAAAATCACATTTTATCAAACAACATATAATACTGTATCAATTTCGTATTATCGTTTTCATTGAAATATCTACCTATAGTAATTGAAGTAATAAAATATAGTCAAAAAATATTTTATTTAAAAAATTAATAAATCCCTAGGTTTAACTTTAAATAATATTTAAATAATTAATTATTGTTGTTTTACAGGTTTTATTTAGAATGTTTATTCTATTCGCTACATTCTTCTCCATCAGTTTATATTTTTTTGCATCTATAATGTTAAAAAAATTACAATGAAACCAATTGTACACATATCAATAATATTTAATCATAGGTACACAATTATGAACAATGTTTATTTAATATTTAATAATAATCAATAAACTCTTACATTACACGATAGTTTCTATTTTGCGTCCATGTATGTATGTGCGTCAGGTATAATTGCAAGTCAAACGAGTTAAAGACAAAAGTCTAAAGGAAATCAATATAATTTTAAGTAATATCATCCATAAAGTTAAAATCCTAATAAATTATGTTTCAAGGATTCGTACCTTACATTTAAATTCCATTACAGTAGGTAACTTAACTATTAATACAATACAATTAACTTATACTTATCTATACAAATAATAGAAATGAAATAAATTGTTAAAGTGGAGATTACTGTTGATTACTTAAAATAAATTAAATATTACCAATGAAACTTACTCTACGCCGCTCCCGCTATTTATAATTATAATAAAAATTATCATATTACAAATTATTGCACATTGMACATTATTGTAAGGATTATTTTGTTTTAAATTTTTCATTAAAAAAATAAATAAAAAAATACGTTGTAACGTAATGGTTCTTGAGTTTTATTTTATTTTTTGTCATAAAATATTCATTTAACAAAAATACTTGGATTATCAAGCACCTTAAATTTGAAAAAATATGTTATACATTTATCTTAATTTATAATATATTAATATATTATATTTAATGAAATAATTACCTAACCCAATAATTATGTATATGGTATATCCTCTGTCTGGTTATATGGAATTCAAATTTGGTGTCAAGCTAAGCAAGGCACTCCAATACATGACTTATATTATATAAGCTTTACAGTTTATGTATCTTCAAAAATAACTAGAGCCTTGGGTTACATGAACGTACAATGCATTACATAAGGATTTACAAATCACAAGTCAGTTATAATATAAGCAGCTAAACAGTTGGTTCAAAAAATACTAGGTATTCTAAACTCGAACCAAAACATTCTCTTCCTCGTTCTCTTTCCTATGTCATCAATCCCAAGTATAAAAAAAAAATTAATATCCTTAATATTCTTTTTTCCATACATTTAATGATATACGAATGTCTTGACAATGCTGGATTTTGAGAGGGACACCAAGTAGGCATATTTGTCCCATGGAGTTGTAAGTATAAGAGCTCTCAGGTGTTTTTATAAATTTATGAAAAATAAAAAAATGCATGAATATAATACATGTATAAGTAACACATTATATTTCCGAAAAAAAAAATAGTTATAAGACAGGCATTCATTATTTAACACGTTGAATGCCGATATAATGAATACATAATTAACACGAGCAACCGGGTGCTCATCATAACCAATTTCAACGTGTCGTGGCGTTGACACAAATTCACTAGATTTATATTAATTCTTTATATTAGGCGATTATAGCAGATTTGAGTCTTCGATGAATTTTAGGAAAATAACATAGTAGGTACTTATGGAAATAGTGAATTTTGAAACAGTGTTTGGTTCAAAGAGAACTTATTCCTGCAGCCTCCTGGAAAAACGTTTTGTTCAAAACCACTTTCTTTAAACTTAAAAAACTTTCAATGTCAGAAATTGTTTATAATTTTTTTTTACCTATAGTATATCTATATCTATATAAATAAGCGCCATCACACAGGGCGATTGAACCTCTAGCACACCCTAAATACGTATCTAGTTGTTAAATCATATCATGAATGGAGTCACTACGAGGGACTTTGTAGAGATATGACTTCCTTTTCCCACTTCTTTAGAACAAAATAAAAAACAGAATACGCAAAAAGCACCGTCAATTTTTCTGAATATGAAAGCCAAGGGAATTCTAGTAACTAGTTTCTTTGGAATTTGAGTTTTCTTGTTCCACTGATAGGAAATTTATAAAATTCATTTGGTATCCATCGATTTTTCAAAATCTTATACTTTTGATCATTAGTACACGTTTTTTCTACATAGACACCAATATCATAATCATAAGTTTGCGAGTGTATTTGTGTAGTGGTACTAAGTGCTGACTCATTTAAACCTATTAAGTATTAATAAGGGTATTAATAATAGTTTTAGTTTGCCCACCTTTGACAAGCACATACAACATTAACATTGAACTAAACACATTAAACAAGGAAAA